GCATTCACCCCATCTTAGCGGACAGATTCAACACTTCAAAATTGCGAGAAATCGAGTGGATGCTTTGAGCCTGACCATTCTCTGTATCCAACCCGCCTTAGCGGGCAGACTCAATACTTCAGAACTGCGAGAAATCGAGTGGGTATTTCGAGCCTGTTGTATCGCTGAATTCACCCCGCCTTTGCGGGCAGATTCAATACTTCAGAACGGTTGGAAATCGAGTGGGTATTTCGAACCCGATATATAGCTGTATTCACCGCGCCTTTGCAGGCAGATCCAATACTTCAGAACTGTGAGAAATGGAGTGGGTATTTCGAGCCTGTTGTATTGCTGAATTTACCCCGCGTTTGCGGGCCGATTCAATCACTCCAAAATTTTCGGGAAATCGAGTGTATATGTCAAGGCTGATATATCACTGTAGCTCCCCCCCCGCCTTGGCGGGCAGATTCAATCTCTCAATTCCTTCATGTGTGGAGGGTGCCGAGTCGGCAGTTTAGCGTTGATTCTCACCATGTATTTGGTCAGCATTAGCGGCAGATCCGCTTTCCAGTATTCAAAAGGCTGTTCCCCACGCTCTCGCGGGCGAAGTTTTCCTTACCTCGGATACCACCTGCGATTGTTTTATGTATAGCCGAGCTTGCCTGTAATTTGGACTCACCAAAACCCGATCTCTCTCTTTCCCCTTCCTCTCTCCTCTTATTCCACGTTGCGATATGGCGCCACCCTTCAGCTAGTCAGTTCAGTAAAGGCTGCGCTCGCCATGCTCGCCCATCTCAGTCCCCTTTCGTCCAACCTCTCAGACATAGGTGGGCCTCGCAAGTCCGAGCACATCCCACTCTCGACCACTACTCTCCGCCCAACTCCAAGTCAACTGCGCAGATCACTGGAGAACACCTGGCGCGCTCATCTGTCCTCCCTGTAGGCTTGCGAAACGTGCGTTGAGCGCGCCGCGCGCGTTGCTCAGCTGCTTCACCCTACGCGCCTTGACTTTTCCTGTTCCCAGCTGGGATGTGGACTGAGTACACCCCGCTCACTCTATCCTTTGCCCGTTCGCTACCCAGCCTATATCCTCTAGTACCAGAGGACGCGGCCACCAGTACCAGTGCACTCGCATTTTCAAAGACAGACCCGGTACCAACACTTGTAGGTTTGATCCAGGAGCAACTCTGGACTGTGCGACCCTTCATGCCAGGGCCACAGGAGCAGGTGCAGGGATACCGACTGCAGACCCATCGGTGCCACCGGATCTGTACCAGGCTTCGAGTTACCGATCCCAAACTAACCAATCCGGAGTATTGCACGCCGTACCGTTGTCAACCCAACAGCGAACCCGGACAAATGTCGATCCTGAAACGATCCCGCAAGACTGGAGGAGCCGGAACCTGTCCGTTCCGAGCCGTAGCAGCCCGTACCACACCAACGCTCCACCGAACGTGTCCCGAACCAGAATGTCATGCCGAACCAGAAGCAACTACTTGAAACAAGCCTTCTGAGCTGTCAATATCGAACCTGAGACCGATGCCGTGACGCGTACCGTATCGACGCCGGATACCGTAGAAAACCAGAAATACCATGATAGTACCGAACCTGTTCCGGACCTGAAATCCGAACCCGAAAGAACGGGAACAGGACGTAGTACCCAGTCCCAGTGTCGTGCCAGCATCAATGGAGTGAAACACAGCAGCCCGAAACAGATTTCACCGGAAAGTACCGCTGTCAAACCGCTCACTACCGGTCCTATTTCGAACGTGAAAAATAAAGTGGCTATGGCTTCATAGAGATAGATAGATAGATAGAGAGAGAGAGAGAGATAGAGATAGATAGATAGATAGATAGAGAGAGAGAGAGAGAGAGAGAGAGAGAGAGAGAGAGAGAGAGAGAGAGAGAGAGAGAGAGAATTCGCTATCCCATATTTTTGTGGGCAAAGCCATAATAGGTAATCTGACTTCCAGAAAAAGTCTCTGTGTATGGTCTTGTGATGCCAGTCAGTTTGTCTATGCTGGCCCAAGCTATGGATAGTTTGAACACGCAGATGTGCTGGTATGAGCTCCGAGGGGATCTGGAAGGGGTCCAGAGGGGTTCAACGGGGTCTGGAGGGGTATCTTGAAGTGTAGTTATTTTCCAGTTGATCATTTCATGTTCGTCTTACTTTTGTAAATTTTGACTTATGGTCGAGTCTTGACTAAGGCATAAAGTTTTCAGGACTCTCTTTTTTTTTTTTTCTCAAGGCTTCATTATAGTTCATTTACAAAATCCCAAGGTCTTTTTTTTTTCGGTTTTAAAAAGTGACTGCAGTAACATACGGCGGGAAGTTTTTAAAACCAGTGCTGGTGTTACTGCAGTCACTTTTTCAACGGAGGAGTGGGACAGAGGACACCACGCGTTCCACCAGCACTGGTGCAACTCCGAGTCTCTTCTACGGGACCGCCACAGATCTCCACAATCCTTCGGCACCCGTTGAGATCTATTGGGGAGATCTGTGGTGGTTTTCCATTAGTGGTGGTCCCCACCACATTCGCTTCTCCATTATAGTCGGAAAGTTTAAAAAAAGCACCGAGAGGTTATTCGAAAAAAGGAGGATAGTGATCGTCCACAACAGAGAGGGAAGGCATTTGACTCTCTCTCTCTCTCTCTCTCTCTCTCTCTCTCTCTCTCTCTCTCTCTCTCTCTCTCTCTCTCTCTCTCTCTCT